GCAGGATCAGTGAGAAAAATGTATTAACTGAAAAATACAGATGTTTTGTGCGGACCATTTGAAACCATAGATCTCTGGTAGGCTTCACAGGGACACAAAGGTTTATTAATAATGTCAGTGGGGCAGCAGATGATGAGCTGAGATGTCAAGAAAGATTAATGTCCAGTTTAATGTTTACATTTTAAAAAGATGGTGGTTTTTCAATAGATAGATGGATAACTTCTGCTTATTTTCATGCTTTTTATTATAAACATTCAGAGGGCCAGTGTGTAACATTTAGGAAGATATATTGGAAGAAATGGAATATAATATTCATAAGTATGTTTATATTTAGTGCATAGCATAGACGTAGTGAACGTAGTCGCTGTGACCCACCTGTCCCTCAAAGCAGCCATGCCCTTAATTATGCATAACTTTAAGCATTAATATGATTTAAATGGGGGAAAAAAAGGGAAAATATAATAAAAAGAACAGTGGTTATCGATATATACTCCACCACTATATGCCACTGAATCTATAGTAATATACTAACTAATATACTAATAGTATTGCAATATTTAACATTTCTATACAGTTTTTAGTTCTGTTTACATCTGTACAAAGACCTTAGCACTTTGTATATTGATTGATTTATTAGACTTTTTCCAGGCCTAATGCTCTCATGCTTGTGCATCTTGTCATCTTGGACCGTGTGCAAATATGCTACCTAGATGGTCAGAGTGTCGGGCGACTGTCTTGGCTGTGATAGTAGTAGAGATGGTTGTTTACACTCAGCATATTTCCAGCTAACTGGGGAATAAGCTCTCCAAGGATTTTTTTAGGGCCACACTCTTTAATGCCAGACGAGAAGACAGTGTTTGTTCCTTGTAGTCTGTTTGTGATGTGTTATGACTGTTATGAGTTTATTGAGGATGAACAAAGCAGAGATTATTTAACCATATTCATAATGTACCACATTCAGGGAGAAGTTAATGTCTTTACTCACCAGTGGTATAACGTAACATGGCTTGAGTACTTTTAATAAACAGATGCTGTTTGCTGTAACTGTTTTTGCCCTCTACTGTAAATCAGATTTCCCCTCAAGGAACAATAAAGATCTGAACTGAACTGATAACTAAGTAAATTTACTTAAGCCCTGACCTTAAGAATGAAATTGAGGCACTTATATTATTTCTATAGGCTATACTTCTACCCCAATACAATTCAAAGGGAATTTTTGTAGTTTTCACTCAAATACATTTATTTCAAAGCAATTAGTTACTTTACAAATAAAGATTTGACATTCAAAACGGATGAGTTTATGTAAAGCAATGGCAAATTAGACTAGACTACCCAAGAGCATATAAATCCGCTTAAATTAGCTTTGACTAACAACAGTAAAATGCTACCTATATTGATTTTTGATTGATGCCTCATAATTAATGATTTAATGATGACCTAAAATCACAGGGGCCATTTGTCTGCATTGAATACTTTTACTTCTATTTACGAGTCAAGACATTTTGTGTATGTTTAAGGGTCATTAGCTCTCTTAAATTCAGTATACATACCCTCCAATCTACATTTGTTTAAAAAAAAAAAAAAAACTTTTCTGCTATCATCCTACTGCTAAACCAGGAGATGGACCACACACAAAGGCTGAGATTTTATGATTGATATGTAGTGTGTAACGCTAACGTTATGCCAGTTTCATCACATTTATCTTTAAGCTAATCTTGTTCTTGATCTGTTGTTGTTAGTGCTTGTGCTATCAGCCATCACTAATTAAAGTGAGTCACACCTTGATTTATCATAGCTGCCTAGTTAATTCAGTTTTTCTCCAGAATTTAATCCAAAACAGCCTGACTAACTGAACTCAATGAGACATGCAGTGCATCAGAGCAGAGTTGCGTCACAGACTGTTTGCTTTACAGATTACCGTTTAGGAACTCTGACAATGATCATGATCAGACTAATGAAAACAAAAATTACACAGTGACCCTCTAAAAGCAGCATTGGGAGAACTTGAATATAGTTCAGTAATCTTTGTTTAATTCTTTAAATTCTCACAGGTGAAGGTAAAAATCATCCAGAACCGGTTCCATGAGTAGAAATGTATTTATTTTGCATTGACGTTTGGGGAGTGGAAAATCATACCAAAAAATGGCATAGTCACAATTCCCCAGTGCACATTACACTCTTCTTGTCTTGTCTGTAATGTTTCACAGCTGGTGGGGATCAAGCGCCTGGTACCTGACACAACTGACCGTACAAGGGAAAGTGTGGGACTCCTCCTCACTGACAGATCAGTGCAGGCTTAACATTTACAGCAGCAACACTCAAAAACATCTTCAAAAGCAGAATCATATAGCACTTAGACACGTTGTTGTGACACACAAATATCACTGCACTTTGTTATGTCGGCCCTATTAGATTATAGAGCCATTTTGTGCAGAATGAAAGGACATATTTGTCTGTATTTAAAGGAAAACTGCTTTAGATTTGTGTCCTTCAATGATAGGGAGGAAGTAGATCAATCTTGATCTAACACTTAATTAGATTTTCAGTTAATAAAATATATATTCCATTTAGAATATTAGGGTACATACAATATGTGGCTAGATAGATACTTTATTTATCCCGAGGTAAATTCAAGCATCCAGTAGCAGCATACAAACATACATTAGACATACATTAAACATACATTAAAATTAAAATGAACATTCAAGTTAAAACAGTGCAAATGGAGGAGGAAATTGTCCATTGTCTATTGTCCTCCCTGCCTTGACTGAGAGCTGTTGTACAGTCTGATGGCCAGGGGGACGAAAGAGTTTTTAAGTCTGTTGGTGGAGCTGGTTGGGACAGCAGTCTGCCACTGAACACATTCCTCTGCCTGGTAAAGGTGTTGTTGTTAATTTGTGTACATTTCTCAGGATTATGAGGTTTCTGCAGGAATGAAACACCTGCAATATAACATTTAAGGCTATGAAAGACAATAGTGCTTTAAACACTGGCACCCCAAGCATGAAAACTATATTATACTATCCACGCAATCAGTTTAAGGGCCGTTCACTTCCACTAGAAGTTATTGGAAGTTTTCCTCTCCTTTCACATCTGTCATTATTGTTCTTCCAGATATGTTCTGCATTGTCACTGTGCTAGGCATTGTATTAAAAAAAACTGACCAACGACTCAGTAACTGTTGGTTTATTGAGCAATACAAAAAACTTTCTAGTAACATGTCTTTCATTTTGACGTCATAGCAGAAAAAGGACACAGGTGTGACTAATAAAATAATTAATGGCTCTCCATTTAGTTGTTATTTCCAGGGCCCATGCAGGTGTTGTGCATGCTGGCTCATTATGAATATTAAGTTGCACCTGTGTTTTCCAGCCTTACTGGTTCAGGTTTCTTCCCACAATCGTGCCACTCCTCCTTTCCTCCCCTTCCTTCATGACCAGTCCTGCCTGGCCAGTACCACAATGTAACTCGGACTTGAGAGGACTGTAAAGGAGGAAATGGAAGGGTAGTGAGGTCAAGCGGAGGACATCTGGGAGTTTATTTTCTACGTCACCATCAACCAATGGAGCTCTGCCAATGACAAAGTGGTCCTATAATAATATATATTCAGCAGCTCAAGCCAACAGTATGCAGCCTTACAGCTAGAGAGTGTAAAATGAACTAACATTACAAGTTAGGGAATAACACAGATGTGATGTAAAGGGATATATGAACATAAAGGAGCTGGTATTTCCCTCTGTTGAGTTTATTTAAAGTCTGTCTTCAGAAAATGATAATGGGGTTCCAGATGCATTCTCAGTAATCACATCACAACAACAAAAATGAAGATGGAGAGGATGTTTCTGCACATCCTTGTTAAAAGAGCATTCAGCAGCACCAATTATCAGGTGCAGATGAGTTAAGAGGAAAGGAGGAGAAAAGGAGCAGCAGACTAGTCATTCACACTCGCAGCCTGCCCCCTTGTGCTGATAGTTTATATTGCATTATGTAATTAGTGGCTTGTTTGAATAATATAAATCCATGCTGTATATTGTATATTATTTATTATGTATATATTTTATACATTGTAAACATTGGTTTGTTTACAATGCCGTATCAGCATTGTTTTATCAGCTAAATTACAAATTAGAGGTATTGGGGCCTCTTTGTTTTGCTGAAATCCTTCCTCACTTTTTTAAGTATGCCTTGTTCCACTCACACACAGTTGCACAAATTCATTGTAGCCTATCAGTAACATTGTAGATTAGAATAAAAGTCCTACACCCAGAATTTCAGGCTACTTAATTACATTTATGTCAGTGTTCTCAGCTCACAGATTACATTCTGAAACTCAATAATGAACTATAAAATATAAAAAATGTAAAGTACCCCTTTACTCAAAAATCTGTTTTTCTTCTTGTTCCTACAGTTAGATGTTGGAGCTTCACTGTGCAGAAGGATGTATGTGCAGACTTTGACACTAGAAGACTGTTTTCACGTTCATGTGCTGAAAGTGGAAAGTTTCTCTGTGCTTACTGAAAATCTGATTTTAAGAGGCAGGGCTTACGAGCATGATTTGTGACATCACAAATAGTTTGAAAGTAAATCCTGGTCCAGTCTGCAACTTATACAAGTGCGTCGAGAAACTTGAAGCCACCAGTGCACAAACACTGAGAATGGACTTTACAGTGTAAGTAGGAGACATCTTGTGTCCAGCAGGAAAACTTTAGAAATAAAAAACCTTTGCATATTCATAGATTCATACATTTTTAATGGAGGTAGAAGGTTCCTTTTTAAGGATTGTAATTTGGAAATTGTACTTTTTATTGCAGAAACAAACACATTAGACACACATTTATTGTTCCAAGCAGACTATTTATTTATTACCTATACATTTGTTTCTATTCTGTATATTGTGTTAGATATTGTATATAAGTACTATTGTTTATCATTGTGTGAGTGGAACAACTGTAGCAAACAAATTTCCCCCCGGGGGATCAATAAAGTATGTCTGATTCTGATTTGCACATGAGTCTTAATTCATGTCTGCAGGTGATCTTTGCAAACAACAATTTCTCCCATTTTTTTGCAACGTAATAACATTTTATAACCTTTCAAAAA